TCCACTGACAACCGAGTGCTAATATAACCTGGGGAAATGGAGAAAACGGAGAGCCCACACCAAGTACACCGCGAGTACTCGTGCGTGTACTCGAGTACCAAACATCCCCAACCACAACCGCTTCTTGGTATCCCCGCTGCGAGCCATGAGACCTTCATCAACATCAAACCCGCCACCATATTGCTTCCTCAACCACTGCAATTATATACCCTCCTCATATACCACTGCGATCGCATGCTACAGTACCGAGCGATGGTGAGATGGCTGGCTACGATGGGTTGAGCATGTCGTCGCAGCCCCCGGTTGATGTCATGCGTCTTCCTCAGGGAGCCAGCGACCATTCCGCAGCATATAGCCAGGCGTCTGACTTCTCTGGAGAAGCTATGTTGTACGTTGATGACCTCGGTCGAAGCATGCGAACTTACATTCGTTCCAGCAACGACCTGAATGTCGACTTGTCGTCCCTTCCTGTCTTCACGCCGAACAACAACTACGACTTTGCGCCCGGCTTCGAAGACTCGCTGGCATATAACAACGGTGGCTACTTCGACAACCTTCTCGACCCAGGAGCGGCTGTGCCCGAATTTTCACCCGCGAATCTCGACAACAAGCTCCTGGGCTTCGGTGCGCCTATACACAAGACCCAGGTTCTCGACAGCGGAGGACAAACATGGCCTCGCTTAGCTGCGGAACTGAATGGCATGTTCTCTATCGCAGAGGACGTGTTCGAAGGAGAGACAGGCGGGAGGCCACTGGAGCTGACATGCTACCGGCGGAATCTGTTCCAGATATCGGGAGCCATCATTCTATCCCGGACTACGGCGCAGGCACTCGTGGAGCAAGGGGGACAAATGCCCATTCACGACCTTGTCGCGGTGCTATCTGCTACAGAGTCGATCGAGGGAAAACCAACAGAAATCATATCAGTGCCATGGAAGGCGGCGGCTGCGAATAGCTCCGCGTCGGAAGATAAGGCTGGAGCAGCACCAGCGAACATCCCGATAGACCTGTCGTCAAATCAGGAAGCTGATCCCATATACGTCAATATCCCGATAGCATGGCGAAGACTGCAGTTCAAATACGCCACTGCAAACAATGGCCGACGAAAAGGCCTACAACAACATTACCAAATACAAATTACATTAATGGCCAAAACAGAAGGTGACGGCCAGCTGATCAAGATCGCAGAGATCCAGTCCAATCCAATTGTCGTCAGAGGGCGAAGCCCTAAGAACTTTGACAGCAGCAAAGATGTGCCTCTCAGCGAGCGCAAACAGTCAGATCCAATGCGCATGAGAAGCGCGGGGAGTGTAGCGGCAGCTACTCCACAATGGATCGAGCCAGCATTATCCCAGGGGTCTAACAAGTACTATTCACAGAAGTCGTATATTGTAAGCACGCCCCTCGCGCCATGTGCAATGGTCTGTCAATCAGGGGGATTGGCCAATCATCTGCTTATATGCTAACTGCAATATAGCAACCCCCTTTAGATCCGGTGTCGTCATGGCCTCATATGTCTCCCACTCCGCCTTCCCCAGCTTCTGTCGAGCCTCGTGCGAAACGACTAGCGTCCGGATCTCCAGTTGCAGCAAAACGTCGGCCACCTGTTCCAGCCACGGACTGGCATCATACGGAGATTAAAGAGGAGTTCCGCGCTCCCCCTGCACTGAAAGCTCCAATAGGGCTGTCAGTATCAGATGACGATGTCCATACTGTAATTTCAGATACGTCGGCCTCTCCTCCGACGGATTCTATCCCAACCCGACCGTTGGTTGCGAGCCCCCTCGAGAAGCTTGACCAGATGTACGAGTACTTTCCCCTCAGCCTGGATGATTGGATGCCACCTGTCGATGCTATCTATCGGCCGCATGTCGTTCACCACCTGAGAGCGCCTGAAGTCAAAGCTCAGGAAGTGCGGTCCAAACCCAAGCGGTACTTTTCCGCCATAAACGATTGAAAGTGTCCAGGGCTAGTATCCCGTTCAGGGGAGCTCTGTGCTTGCATCACACAGTTGCATGATATGCGCAAATGGGCAATATAATTGGTCTAGTTCCTAATTTCAGGGAGTAAGGTTGCTCCCATAGCTGCGGTAATATTCACCTTGCACCAACGCTACGTCGCAGGGGAAAGTCCCGGTGGCCCGGCTCCATCCATCAAACGTGGAGGGCACGTTTAAACTATGCCAGGAAGGGATATGGAAGCAGGCACTGAGGGGAATGGCTGTGCACTATGCGAGCCGGTCTTTTACCATTTCTGTGTTGAGGCTCGATGATCGTCAGGATTGGAGAGATACCCCACATATTGCTATATATGTTGTACTGTACACTGAAATTTATATTATATATTTCAGAACACGGGCACACATGCCTATTATTCTATGTCTAGTGTTTTAATTCTTCTAACCTACGAAACAGAAAATCTCGTCCTTTTTTTACTGCTTTTTTTTTACTATGCTATGGTCGCAATCACGTTGGTGTTACATACTGTATGGGGCGATGGGGGCGATGAGGGTCTCGGCAACTTTGGGGTGTTGCTGGTTGCATCCTGTCTCGGACCCCGCCAAAAACATTTCAGTGGTGTCGGGTCTTGTACTGGGCAACGTTACATGGCCACCACCATCCGTGGAGAACCAACCCACCGTTACTCAACGTCATCAGGACATCTACTTACCACGATTATACATCGCAACCATCAAGTCACCCCTCAGTCTAATCATCCACTATCTGATACTTCAAAGGTATCGCAGCTAGGTCTGGCCCGTTTCTTTATTTCATTGTTATTCACGATGTAGGTAATATACTTCTCATCGCTTCAATTACGACAGCGATAGGTCTGCTCTTTCATCTCATTTCCATCTTACCGCTGGGCCGATGCTCATTCCTTCCTCATTCAACATGCCCAGCTCAACTACTGCAAGGGCTCCTCGGGACATCATCACCAGGTTCACCAACTGCCGCCTCCTCCGCCACAACTCCCTCGTTCGGGCAGACCTCTGGGTCTCCTCGCTCACGGGGAAGATTCTTGATGGACAGGATGTCTTCTATACCGAGAGGCGCCTCCCTGATGTCGTCGTTGATCTGGGAAACCGCATCCTCTCTCCTGGCATGATTGACGTCCAATTAAATGGCGCGTTCGGAATTAACTTCTCGGACGTTCCGGAGGAAGAAGGCAGCTTTCCTAAGAAGTTGAAGGAGGTGAATCGGCAACTAATATCGACGGGCGTGACGAGCTACTTGCCGACGATGACAAGCCAGAAGAGCGAGGTCTATCATAAGGTTTGATTTGCAGCTCTATATCCATGATGTGGTACTGATAACAACAGTTGCTACCCCACCTCGGTCCATCAGGCGGTGCGCGCGACTCGACGGACGGCTCCGAGTCCCTCGGCGCTCACATCGAGGGCCCCTTCCTCTCGCCCACCAAGAACGGCATCCACAACACCGAAGTCCTCATCTCCGCCCCGAACGGCTTCTCGGACCTCGTCGCCTGCTACGGCAGCGACAATCTCAACAATGCCAAAATGCTTACTGCTGCCCCTGAAGAAGGCATACAGCAGGCCATTCCCGACATCATCTCCCGTGGCATCGTCTACTCAATCGGCCACTCGGAAGCCACCTACGAGCAGGCCAGCGCCGCCGTCGCCGCTGGCGCTACCATGATCACCCACCTCTTCAACGCCATGCGCCCTCTCCACCACCGTGACCCAGGCGTCTTCGGCGTCCTCGGCTGCACAGAGGTGACCGCCCCGCGCACCTCACCCCCGACCAGCCGCCCCACCAGCACCTCCTCTGCCATCAGCTCCAGCACCGATTTCCGCCCTTTCTTCGGCCTGATTGTCGACGGTCTGCACTTGCATCCGACTACAGTCAAAATCGCATGGAGCGCCCACCCCGAAGGCTGCATCCTCGTCACAGACGCCATGCACCTCGTCGGCCTCCCGGACGGAATGTACACCTGGGGCTCTTCGGGGCGCGAACGCATCGTCAAGACGGGTCCGCGCCTGACGCTCGAGGGCAGCGATAAGCTCGCCGGCTCCGCGATCTCGCTAGTAGAGTGTGTGAATAATTTTCTGGCGTGGACGGGGGCTAGTGTGCCGCTTGCGCTGAAGACGGTGACGGAGACTCCGGCGAGGGTGTTGGGGATGGAGGGGGTGAAGGGGAGCTTGGTGGTTGGGGCGGATGCGGATTTGGTGGTCTTTAGTGAGGTTGGGGGCGAGGGGGGTGTGCAGTTGGTGGTGGATGAGGTGTGGAAGTTTGGGGAGAGGGCGTGGACGGGGGAGGTGGATGGGAAGGTGGTGGTTTGAGAGGGATGGAATGTAGAATGCATGGATATGCGACTTGGAGTTTAACGATTATATGGATGAACTTATTTTCATTGTTCATAGCGTAGATTCGGCGGCATGTATTTTTTGGGTGGAATATTAAATTGCAATTTATCCACATGAATTATTGGGTTTATTTTTTAACTTCGAATTTATAAAAATTATTATCCCAATCCAAACCTATCCAAGCAACCAGATATATCTACCTCAAAATAACAACCCATCCAACCACTTATTAAAATATACATTCTAAGAGTTATTCTTCTATAACTAGAGGTTCTACGATATCACTTACAGGTGTGGACCGCCACTAGGAACGATCCCGCACCCTGTCAAATACATCATTACGCATTCCCAACACATGAAATAGGCCTGCTGGCCCAATGGCAAGGCGCTTGACTACGAATCAAGAGATTGCAGGTTCGATCCCTGCGTAGGTCACTATTCATAACTCCTCCTCTTCACCGAGGAGCACTTCTTTTTGGCAATTTTTTCTATTTTTTCTAACCCCAACCCCACCAAGCTTCACGAAAAATATTTTGCGCCCCCACCATCGATGATCCACAATCGCTCCACCACTATCAGGGTGCGAGATATTTTTTTTGTGGGTTTTGCATCAATAGCATAGTGGAAAAGGGAGACTTAATGTGGGATTGGTGTCGCTTTGATATAAAATGATGGCCTCCTGGCCCAATGGCAAGGCGTTTGACTTCGATTTCCGCTTCGGCGGCTATATGGTATCAAAAGATTGTCGGTTCGATCCCGGCGGGGGTCAAAGCATCATTAATTTTTTGTTTTTGTTTTTTTACAATACGATGTTGTAAGGATGGATTTTTAAATGCTGGATCACGACATGCTGGTAATTCAACATTTTTTGGTTCATTTGATTATGGATCTGGTTCGGGAATGCTTTAAGGTGACGTTTGCTTCGGCTGAGATACCTAACAAAGCCATGTCGGTGAGAGAAACAGATTAACAGGACATAACCTCATGAGAATGAAGACGATACAAAATGTGAGGCATACAACGACTATGTGCCTCCTTCATTTCTCTAAGTGAGCATCTCTCTTCTCTTAGAATACAAGTTCACAGTTCCCCATAGTTGGTGTGTCCAGGTGACATCGGGAAAGGATAACGCGTAAGCCATGACAGCGCATTCAACGATATATCCAGCCAGTCGGCCTGATCTATATGTCAAGTTCATAGCCTCATTATCCTAGCCAAGATGGCCGCTCTACCAAAGCATCCAAAGCCACAAGTGCTTCACGCAGACGATGGCGTGGAACTCAGCTACTACTCCGTCGGGTCAGGTCCGGGCATTATCATCATCCCTGGCGCCATGTCCTCCGCCCTTAATCAATATGAATTAGCATTATCCCTTTCCTCCTCATATACAGTCCATCTATTCTCCCGCCGCAGCCGCGGTCTCTCAGGACCCTATCCCCGCTCCGTGACAGAAACCCAAGCCCCCCTACTACAGCCCCTGGGACACACGGACGATAACCCTATAGACTCCCCATACGACCCCCAATTCTGCCTCGGCGTCCTCAAAACAGACCTCACCGACCTATTCGCCCTAATGCGGCACACACGCGCGACATCCCTCTTCGGCATAAGCAGCGGCGCCCTACTCGTCCTCGCCGCATGCACCAACCGCCCCACCAACACCGCCAACCCCCCCATAGAAAAAGCCATCATCTTCGACCCGCCGCTCATCCTATCTACCCCACCAGCCCCACGGGGCATTCTCCCTGACCTACCCAGCATCCGCCGCTATGAGGCTGAGATCGCAGCTGGGAAGACGACTTCCGCGCTCGTGACAGCGATGCGGATCGTGCAGCTTGGTCCGGGGTGGCTACGCTTGTGTCCGGATTTCATCATTCGTTTCCTGACGGGACTGATCGTGTCTGCTGAGGCGAGGGAGCAGGGCGGGTGGAAGGAGACTGGGGAGGAGGATGAGGGGGTCGTGACGATGGAGATGCTGGCGTCGGTGTTGAGGTATGATTTTGCGCTCGTGCAGGCGATGGTGGGTGATGCGAGGGGGTTTGATAGGGTTGCTGAGGGAAGGAGGGTTTTGTTAGTTGGAGGCGGGGAGAGTCCGGATTATATGAGGTTTGCGATGCGGGTGTTGGTTGATGTGGTGAGGGAGGGGGGGGTTTGAAGCAGGGATGGAATGGCGGGAGATTGGGGGTGTGGGGCATGAGTTGTTTGAGAATAAGACGAGGAATGGGAGGGTTGAGTTGGGTGTTGAGACTGTGAGGGAGTTTTTGGCAAGGCCCTGATAATGAGGTAATGAATTGGCAGCCCGGTTTGTCTAGTTTAGCCATGGTCTGTTTGTAAGGTAGTGTGAGTAACTCTCATGTAAAACTAATATATATTACACTGTTAATCTATTTGGTCATTTAACCACGGATCCTCTAGCAGCTCCTTTGCCGTTTTTCGATCTTCTGGCCGCCACTGCAGCATCCCTCTCATGAAATCTAAAAACATGTCCTTATTCTTCCCCTCTAGGAACTCCCCCGATCGCTCTAAGCTTGCATTCTGTGGTATTTCTACGTCGGCCCTCCACGTTCCTAAACAGAAGATCATTAGAAGTCCGCCCCGAAAGATAAACGGTCATGGTATAGAGTATGATACTTACCATCCTCTGCAAAGAACTCATGGCTACGTAACCCGCGTTTAATGAGATCCCTAGGCGGCAGGCCCAACATCCCGACTACTTCCGCGAGATGCGCACGCGTTGAGTACCCCTTCCCATCAGGGTCGTTTCCGTAAAACATATGCCTACCCTCGAAAAGATCCCAGATCTGATGTGCGTCAGTTAGTAACTAGGAGAAGTGCTATACAGGAGAGAATATGTGGCATACCACAGCGCCAACGTTCCATATATCGACTGGATAGCTCCATTGAGTCTTTAACATTACCTCTGGTGATCTGTAGACATTTGGTTGTGCGTCATGATTTCTCTTCTCATCCCCGCGCACTGCAGAACCGAAATCGCTCAGGACGGCATTCCCAAATTTCCTCGGTAATTCTAGCCGCCGAGAAGCATACACTGGTGCATCATTGATAAATTTCCTTGGTGAAGGGTCGTCCATTTCGGCTTTGGCAAACGCGTCAAGAATCGATGTGTCTTCTATCTCTTGGAGAATGTTGTCTCCTTTAATGTCTATTAGATTGGTTAGCGAGTTCAATACTCGGAAGAATGAAGCACTCCCACCTGTGTGAACAAGCTGGCACTCTGTGTGCAAATAATCGAGCGAGAGGAAAACCTGCATAAGGCCCGCCTTGAGAAGTTCTTCAGTGAATCTGTGCCTGGGGTTACGGTATAGGAGATCCCTGAAGCTCTCCCATGTGGGCTTTTGGACCAGACAGTAATGATCCCCTCCGGCACGGGGAATGGTAAATATCCCCAACGCTGATCTCACATGACCATAGCCTGGATGTGATTAATTGCCCTAATTTAGACGTTTGTAAACCTCGAACTCCTCCCAATTGGCATCTTGTCATTTATACACCTTTAGAGAAACATGTTGATGATCTCTGCTTCCGTTAGCTCCTTCCTGGCTTGAAAGGGTAGCCTTACTTGAGATCTCGAGCGAGCCATACAGTGGATGTGACGGCGAACCCTAGTTTTCCAACGACTTGGTACCTGGAGCTGAAGATCTCGCCAACGTTGACGGGATAGTATCGCCCCGTCTTGAAATCTTCAAATTGTTCCTCCTCGAGCACTTCCAATGCATTGATGGCTTTAAAGCCGCTGCTTGGAAAGTGCATTGGCGGAGATGGGGCCCTTTGAATAGACCTTTTGGCCCATTTTAAAATGGATGCCATGGAAAGGGGCACTATGGAGAAGAATATATGTGGAAACTATCCCAACACGTGGGGCGACAACGCAGAATCGGCCACGACGTAGAAGTGAACCTCGATCTCTATCTATTTCTATGCCTGCCTTCACGTCACCTTTAGCTCTTCTCGTACAAACAGTAATTCTATATATAGCTTGACATATTGGAGACCAATGGCTCACTAGCTGAGCTGGGCGGCTAGTCTGGTGGCTGATGGCGTTCATGTACTGAGACAACCACGTTGTTTAGATGTGCTATAGGTCTGACCGGGCCTGATCTACGTTTGATCTAGAGTACCTGTGGGTCTGGTTTGGGTCCTTAGCCTAGAAATAATGGGTTATAAATAATTTAGGCTTTTTACATTGTCTTTACGAAATTATAACAATAAACAGCCTTGTTAAAGGAGACGAGCACATGATCTAACTCCAATGTCTACCACGTGTCGTCGCGTGTCAAGTGTGGGGAAAGCTCCAACTTCTTAGTCAGCCACAAGACCTCCAATTTATTAGTCATCATATGAAGGAGCTCCATTCGCTTACCACCGCGTTGTCGACACATTGCATCACGACAGCATCAAGCCCATCATCTCCAACTCCACGCCTGACCCATCTCTCGCAACATCGTCGCCATGGTTTCCTACCGCTTTTCTGTCCTTGCCCTGCTGGCTCTACGTACCATTGGTGCCGTAGCTGCCAAAGTTGTACGTAAATTCGACCTCCAATCCACCCACGTGCTCGGGGCCTGCTTAACCCTGTACTCGTCGAACTCTCTAACTTCTTCCAGTCCCCTGATGATGCCGCCAAAGAGGGAATTACCCCCGCCCCCGAGGATGCGCCGCCTTTCGAGGTTACCGTAACTGCTTCCTTCCCCAGCGCGGAGATCTTCGGCCCAAAAATCATCAACGGCCAAGGAACCCAAGCCCTCCTCGACATCACCAACAATGAGGGCGCACCCATCACGCTCATCATGGTTGGCGGCATGCTTTCGCGTCCTGAAACCGACCTTAAGCCTGGCGCACATGCCTCATCTTTGATCGTGAGGAACTTGACCACGACAAAGTACACAGTGGAGGTCCCAGCAGGCGCAAAAGAGAGCTTACCGTATACTTTCACGACGGACATGCAGCCGGCCGACTTGCAGCTGTCTCTGATGGCTATTTTCACCGATAACAAGGGCAACGTTCGTCAGGTACCAGCGTTCCATGACACCGTCAGCGTTGTCGAGGCGCCCACTAGCTTCCTTGACCCTCAAATGTAAGTCCCCCTTTCCAGAAACAGGCAGCGATTGAACCACTGCTAACTGACCCTCTAGTGTCTTCCTCTACCTTGTGCTTGCCGCAGCTACCGCCGGAACGCTCTACTTCGTCTACAAGACCTGGATTGAGACTCTCTTCCCCCAGACCAAGCGTGGAGGCAAGGGAGGCGAGCGCGCGCGTCGCTCGCTGGGTGGCGTCAAGAAGGCCGTGCCAACCGAAGAGCAGCTGAGCGTCATTGGTGCTGACGGACCTGCTGTCACCACCAAGGATCTGGCGCAGAAGGCGTACGATGAGAGCTGGATCCCAAACCACCACATCAACCGCCCATCGGCGAGAAAGGTCCAGAGCAGCTCGAAGAAGATTCCTACTAAGTAGGTGTTGAGGATTGGATAATCGTGGATAATTCATTATGTGGGGGTTTCGGAGCCGGAGCGGGGGTGGGGGTGGGGGATTGGAGTAGATACATACCTGTAAAGTACTGCATAAAATATACTAGTGGGTGATGGGAATGGCTGGATGGTTGGTCGGCGGTATTATCATAGAAAGAATCAAAAGGGTTCAATCCTCACCACACATATACACATTTAGTGCTGCGAATCTCGCATATATGCACATGCTATATGCATAGAACAACGATTGCTCCAGCCGAACCTTCTTCTTATTAACATGAAC